ATCTGAATGACCATGAAAGGAAAGCAAACAGCAAGTGGTGAGTAATTTTTCTCATTTGTTTTCAGAAAAACCAGGAAACTGCCAAATAGTTACGCACAAGATTCAATTAAATGCCGAAAAACCTTGTAGGACTAAACCTTATCGGTATGACAAACAAAAAGACGTAATCATCGAAGAACATATTCAGGAGATGTTAAAGAATAAAATAATAACGCCCATAAATAGTGAGTACGCGAGTCCAGTCGTACTATGTAGGAAAAAGAACGAGTTTCCTCCTTCGGATAAAAGGGCTTGGAGGTTTGCTATCGATTACAGAAAACTAAATAGTATTACTAAATTTCCAGTTTACCCTTTGCCGGTTATAGACGAGATCATTAGACAGATCAAATCGACAAGATATATGTCTACTTTGGACTTAACGTCTGGCTACTATCAAATAGCTATGAGACCCGAAGATATACATAAAACCGCGTTTATAACAAAATCGGGCACTTATGCATTTTTACGCATGCCTTTTGGGTTGTGTGGGGCCCCATCAACATTCCAGAGAGCTATGGACATTGTTCTAAAGCCTGTCCTAGGAAAATCAACTTTAATTTATCTAGATGATATAATTATAACGAGTAGTACGTTGGAACAACACATTAATGATCCTAGAACAAGTTTTAAATTATTAAAAGAGGCCGGTCTTACAATTAACGCCTCAAAATGCAAGTTCGCAACTAAAGAACTTAAATATCTCGGTTATAAAATTTCGCAAAAGGGTATAGAAACGCAAGATTCAAAAATAAAAGCTATTAAGAATTTCCCACCGCCCAACACCGCCAAGAAACTTTCTTCTTTCCTTGGGTTATGTTCTTACTATCGATCTTTCATAAAAGATTTCGCTAATATTGTTGAACCACTCTTAGTAATCAAAAGAAAAAAAGGGTAAATTTACGTGGACAGCGGAAGCTAACACAGCATTTGAAAGATTAAAAGAAGCGCTTATTAATGCCCCTGTTTTAAAATTCCCGGAGGGGGACGAAAACCTGGAAATTGCAGCAGATGCGTCAGACTATGCGGTGGGTGCGGTTCTTATGCAAAATAACCATCCTCTGGCATTTTTTAGTAAAACATTGAATCAGACACAAAGGAATTATACAGCTACAGAAAGAGAAAACATTAGCCGTATTAATGGCTGTACACAAATTTCGAGTTTATTTCGGCAAATCGCCAGTAACAGTCTTTTCGGATCATGCGGCTGTTGGTAGACTTTACTCGGGGAAAAAACCTAACGCCCAGGTTAATAAGATGGGCTTTAAAACTCCAAGAATATAATATCACAATAAAATATAAACCGGGTAAGGAAAACAATGTAGCTGACGCACTTTCTCGTATAAAACTGGACGACGATGAAGGAATGAACTTAAATGCGCTGTGTTGACTTCAAAAATTTTAGATTCTAGAGATACGGTTATTACTGAACTGAAAGCTGATCCTGAATTTGGAAATATCTATGCTTATTTGAAAGACCCCGAAAGCTTTGAGCATACAGATATCGATGCGATAAGAAATAGAGCAAAAAACTATGAAATAATAGATAATTTATTATTCTATACGAAAACACACAAACGAAAATCTTGAGTATAAACCAGTCATCCCAGCCTCGCTTCGATTAAGCATTTTGAAGGGAATTACACGAAGCAAAAACAGCGGGCCATTTAGGGGTCAGAAAGACTTTAAAAAGGGTACGCGAGGCGGTATATTTCCCGCAATTATACAAAATAGTAACGGCGTATGTCAGGTCCTGCAATCAATGTCAGTTAATAAATGATATTAATTACAGCCCGGCCGGGTACTTAAATAGCATTCGCGCTACATTTCCGAATGAAATTTTAGGCATAGATCTTCTTGGTCCCTTCCCCCAGAGCGAGTTAAATAAAAATCGTTTTCTTTTAGTAATAGTAGATCATTTTTCAAAATGGACAGAAATTGTTCCACTTAAACGCGCGTCAGACCAAAAACAGTCGCAGATGCATTCTTACACAGATACATTTTAAAATACGGTGCACCGATAAAAGTCATTAGCGATAACGGAAAACAATTCATTAGTCAAATATTTGAAAACATATGCAATGGACTTGGCATACGCCATATCAAAATGGTTCCGTATAGACCACAGGCTAAACATAGCAGAAAGAGTTAATAAAAACATAGTAAAAATAATTCGCAGTTACGTGAGCACACATCACAAGCGCTGGGATGGCTACATAAATGAATTAGCTTATGCTTTAAGAACGGCACAATCATGATACTACGGGAAAAACTCCAGCAGAATTATTTTTAGGCCTAAAAGTTAATTACGCCTTTAGATAAATTATTCTTTGTGCAACAAAGAGAGCAGGAATTTAAACAAAAAGATGTGCAAAAGCTGATTGATCAGGCGCTTAAAAGCTCGGATACGGCAAGAAATAGGCAGAAAATATATTATGATAGAAAAACGCCGTGAAGCAGATTTTAAAGTTGGGGATAAAGTATTGAAGCGGAAATTTTCTTTATCAAGTGCCCCAGACAATTTTACGGCAAAGCTAGCTCCAAAGTTTGAAGGGCCCCTATGTAATTCAGGAAATCAAAGGAGTAGTATTATATCTTAAGAACGAGAGAGGGGAAATCTGTAAAGCAAGTCCCGACCAGGTGAAAAAATACTATAATCCAAATGATTTTGAAATCCTTAAAAGTTTCTTGCAGGACTCAAGTCTAAACGAAAAGTAGAAGATCCAGAGAACAACAACTATTCCACCACCCAAGAAACAGAGAACTGAAGAGAGACCTAGCCCTTCTACAACCCGGACGTCGGTATCAAAAAGAAAAAATTATTTTCAAACTCCAGCGTTTAAGAAAAACAAAAACAGATGCAACCGGGTAAAGAAACCGTGGTAAAGAGAAAAAAACACCACCTACAAAGGATTGCAGGAGGCAGAAAAATTATACATCAAGGAGAACGCGCACACGGCCACAGAGTCAGGTGCCAGCAAGGCCGCCGTTCCGGAAAACTGAAACGGCAACAGGAGGCACAAAAATACGAGGAACAGAAGAAATTCAAGAAGGACTCCAGACCGAAGGACGTCAAGACCAGCCGTCCCAGGGAAAAACGGAAATGTCAACCACCAGACGATTACTCCGCCAAGAGGCCAGCATGTAGAGGACGCAAAAGAAAAAGCAATGTGGACGACACTCGGAGGGCAGTAAGGAGAAGATTAACATCCATGAAACCTCTAACTTGGGACCAATATTGCCAAAAACGAATGACGGAGTTTCAAGCATCGAAAACTCAAAGATAAGTTAAAACCTTCTATAAATTTTTTTCTCTTTTGTTCCGAAATGGACTTGGGACCAATATTGCCAAAAACGAATGACGGAGTTTCAAACATCCAAAACTCAAAGATAAGTTAAAACCTTCTATAAATTTTTTTCTCTTTTGTTCCGAAATGTTATGCATAAGTACGAAGTTCTATGTTTTGACGAAAGTCAATATGTCTCGGTTGAGACTTAGTTTTGTTTTACTTTATTTAGCTAAGGCAAAAGTATTATTTTTTTAAGTGTAAAAGCTAAAAACAAGCATTTTCTGTTGGTCGAAAGACTAATTCTGTTATGTTAAAGCCAAAATTTGGCCGAAGATAAAAATAACTTCGTATTCTTGTACTAATAAGAATTTTAGTTTCAGTGCCGCCAGCTTGGCGAAGAATGAATGAGTAAAGTAAAAATTTATTTTCTCTTATTCATTTATGGTAAATTGTAAAAATCATATGTATTAAATTTTGTAAATGTACGTAAATACTTGAATGTTATGTAAAAGTAGAATTTAGTCTAGAAGCATAAAATTGTAGATGCTAAAAGTGAATGCTTAAAAGCAATGAAGTCAAAATTTAAGTATTAAATGTAGATAAAGTCATGCTTTAGAGCGAAAGCCTGCATGTTTAAAGATGAATGAGGGGAGGGGGAAGTTAGAATGAATGTGTTTGTAGGGTTCTCCACCTACATTTGAATTTTTAAGAATATTAAAGTAGCTCATTGAGTTGTAGAAATGTCGAGTAAGGTGTGTCTATTTGGTCGTTGTTGAATTCTAACAAATCATGGTGGTTAGGGGAAGTGTTGTAAGACTAAAACACGAATATTCCCGTTTGACACCACACACGGTGGAGTGGAGAGCCAGGGTAAAGTTAAATTAATGCTTGAAAAATTGAATGAATGTGAAGTAAGCAATAACTAAGAAAAACGAATCGTTTAAAAACAAAAATTTATTGTGTCAAGAAAGTGTAAATTATAATGTATTTAGAAAGATACTGATACTTATTCCTTCCAGATGCTGGAAGGAAAGACCAAGATTGATGATTAATGAAGTCCAGGAAAAGTTGCTGTAAGAAGAGAGAACTTTATAACGATCAACAGAATTTTAGTATACAATTTGTTACATAAGATTTTTTTTTGTGTGTAAACGAGGTTCTCGCCAGTTAGTTAGTTCAGAATTAGAGAAACTTACAACAGGTCGTTTGTAGGACCTGCTTCCAAGTTTTCCAAATTCTGGCAGCGGCAAATGTAGGGTTTATATTTATTTTAACTAACATTTTTTTTAAGTTTAAACTATCTTTCCTGTCAAGCCTTACTTTCCCCTGGAACTGCCAATGCCAGAATATGTAAATTTGAGTAGAACGCGCAAGGATTCAAATTAGCAGCGGAAGTATTATGATTTAAATAGAAGGGAAACGAGTTCGGGGTCTGATATTCTTACTTCACGAGCGCGGAGGTAGTTAGCGAGATAAAAAGGGACTTAAACCCTTTACAAGACTCTGTATTTTATCCAGTTTTCACAGTCACCTCTTGGTTGCGTGCAAGTTGGAGGCGCGCAACGTTACAACATGATGAAATGTAAAAATTAGCTCCTTGTTTTGCTACTTCTTAAGGAATATTTAGATCTAAGCATTAAAATAGTTATTAAGAAACATAAATTCAAGACATACCTCATTGTCTTGGCCAAATTCTGGGATGATTTCTTCTTTTGAAATGGCTGAAAATAAAAATTAAAGGAATTCTTTAGTAACTGCTTATGAACAAAATTAAAACAAGAAAAAAATTAAGGAAACAAGAAAAAATTTAATTAATTTTAAATTATTAATTCATTTTTGAAATTCATCTTTGCACTTGGCATACAGATTGAATGTTATGATAAAACTTCTAAACATAACGATTTCTCAGCAAATAACTTGATATTACTTGACTTGCTTGCTGCTTCAATATAAATTTAGTAGCAGAATTTTGTATTTCTTTTAAATATAGGGAATAAAACAAGCTTAGGAATTAGTTGTTTAAATGAATATACGAATACCCCGTAAGGTGTTTCTTATCCTAATTTCATAAATTTCTTCATAATAAATTTATTAATTATTAATTAAAGTTGGTGATAACTTATTAGAAATGCCCGAAAATTATTGTATTGAATTTCATTTGCTGAAGTAGATAATATTATTTGCGCCATTGCTAATGAATTTTCAGTTTTTGTCCAGTAATTATATTGTATTTATAAATATATACCTTAGATCATATACCATAATATATCTTGGCTCTTCAGAGCACTTTCATAAATTTAAAACTGTGAAGTCACTGGACTTAAGTACTGCTTAATGTATTTAATACATCAAGGTTTAATATAGGTTCTATACATTGTAGAGACATTAGGTTATTTCGAAGAAGGATACATGAAAATTGTACAATGCTCTCACCGGGTCTCGAAGCCTGGACCTCTCGAATACGCGCCGAGCGTGCTGAATATTACACCACGAAGGCATACTAAGAAGGCAGGAGAAATAACTTATAACATTGCGTGCAAAAACGTAAAGTTTCTTTTCGAGGTTTACCGGTTCATACAGTAATATTTAGTAGTTTCTACCGATTATAAGAATTAAAATACAAAATAAGTGACGGGCCGTATACAAATTGAGAAGCAAATACATAAATTTGTATATAACTAAAAATGAAATAAAACGTTTCTAATATTAATAGCTTAAATGATGTGCACTAACAAGCATAATCTCGTGAAATGTTTTGATGAATCTTATTCACAAACGTTTTACGAATGTATACTTTATAAAACAGTGGCAGGTTTCAAATATTGGCAGGTTGACAAACTCATAATATCTTTTAAAAATAATTTTAAAAATCTGAAAGATTTCCTATTTTATATTACGCCTAAAGTGCTTTTTTAACGTTTTGTGTGTTACCTTTATTTATTAAATATCAGATTCTTCGCACTTAAACCATAAAATTCAATTCAACGGCAATAGTACAAAATAATTTAAAAAGAGCATATCTTTAGAATTTCCGATACACAGTCTGGCGCGCTGGAGATAAAAATGATTTTTTTCGTACAGGTTTGCCATTGCTCACTTCGAAATTGTTGAGTTTCTTAATCAAAAACTCATAAATGCTTTACAAAATATCAAATAGATAATAAAACGAATTCCAAATTAGGGCTTCCAGATGCCCATATCCGGGTGGAGACTTACGTTATTCAGAACTGGATGACTCTCTAGGTACCGTAGTTTTATCACAATGCGAGAAACATGTATACTTTATTATTTAATTTCTTTAAATATAATACAGGGCTCTAATATTGGGTGGCAACGATTTGAAACGTGAGACTCTGTTTATAGTGAAACGTCACAAAATGCCAAAACGAAATTAATAGTCCTTCTGGAATAAAAACAAGTTTAAAATAAAATAAATGTTTTTTACATGTCTGTTACGTTATGATTTCAAATCATTAAAACTATAAATGAATACTATTAACGTCAATTTAGCATTCAAAAGCATACAAATTCCCTTTGTGTAAGGTGCTTTGAGGTTACTAAATGTTAACATTATAAATTAAATATCGCCACACCGTAGTAAATCAGAAAAGAATATCCCTGAATAACATCAAATTTAAAAAAAAAAAAAATCAATCATTATTACTTTAACTTTTTTTAACCGGCCCCTGAAACAGGGCGATAAGTTTTTTTTCTGCATCTCTAAAATTTCTAAATCTCCAGGTTTTAAAATTAAATATATACATCAGTTTTTGTAGTAAGGTTGTGAAACGTTTTGCGAAAAATTGATTATTAAAATTTAAAAAATCAAAGCATGAATATTTGCATCGGTTAAAAAAAGATTTTGTGTTTGGAAGTATATGCGCACGACTAACGGATGCGAAGAGGTTTGGTTTGGTTTGTCTGATTATGGCAAAGCCTCGAGGGCTATCTGCCTAAGAAGAGAGATGCTTTCGTGGAGAACTTTCTAAGTGAAACTGGTTCGTATACACGTTACACATGGGGAAAACCACGAAAACACCCATGCAGCCAGCCCGTTCGCGGGATTCGAACCTCGGACCGAACTACCAGTGTTCAGCGACTGCTCGGCCGCTGTTGTGCTCCGGATGCGAAGAGGAAGACCACGTTAAGGAATTAATGAACACGGTATATAAGTGATACTGTGACCGGAATTCTAATTTTAAGTGCTATTCCAATTTTACACAAACACATATTTGGTATTTGTAACCCCAAATTTCCCTACAAATTTGGTATTTGTAACATGGTAACTAACATCTTGACTAGATACGCTCGATCTCTTAGGTATCTAAATTAGTAGTTTCGAAATTCATACAAGCAAAACGCAATTAATTTCTGCTTGTATTTTATTGCTAGCACCAATAAATAATTTTTAAACAACCAAATTTAAATATCATTAGGCTGTAAATAAAATTAGCGAGAGATGATTTGACGTTAGATTTGCATTTCTCGTCTCTCAAATAGATAATATAATTTATCATACATCCGTGACTTAACTTTTTCGCTAGTAATCTCTTATCACAACCAATATCTTAGGTATTTATGTTATCATCAATCAAACTCCAACCAAGTATTTTTAATAATCATGTTAGTTACTTAGTTGCATCAGACATGTTGTTCGATGCAGCAAAAAAAAAAAAAAAAAAAATCATATGTAACATATTATTGTACTATTTGTCTTTTAATAGAGTATCCAAAGCAATACCAGATGTTTTAGTATTTTAAATAAAATTATTTAAAAAGAAGTAAAGAGTTACCTTATATCTGTACGTATAGTCTTCAAGACGACATGATTATAATTAAGAGAAAAATTTCATACTTAAATGCATGCCCGATTTGCTACAAACGAAATTTAAATATTTTAATAAATTACGAACTTTTCATTTGAGCTCCAAGATACAGAAGAATAAACAGACAGAAAGAGATAATTGATTTTAAAATAATCAAATAGATTTATATGAATGCCAAAAGATGTTTTCATTTCTTAGTTACAAATATTTTCCATACTTTGGGGTTTTCTCTAGTTAAAACAATTTTAAGCTAAAAACATGAATATGTAAAAACGATGTTGGTAATTTTTGGTAAAGATCATCTCTTAAACTTTGCCAGGTTTTCGAGGAATTAAATTAAATGACTTCACTTCAATCCTGCATTTACAATTTAACTGATATATTTATCTAGGCTATCCAATATGATGCTCTGCGAACTTACGATTACTTCCAAATCCATTATCCACAAGCATAAGCTTTTCTAAATAGCATTAACATCTAGCGATTACAAGTTGGATTTAAAGAGACTCATACACCTCAAAACCCACAAGATCTTCTAATATGTCACTCTTGCAAGAATTGGTATAACTAACTTATTTTAAAAGCAATTACTTCCAAATTCTTACAGCTGACTACATAACATAGCTGCTTTCTGAAATAGTAATCAGAAAGTTTGTGTTGCCACAAATATTTCTATAATTTAATCCGCTTTGGGACAACATTTTTCGTCATGTTTCCACCTTGCGCGCACAGTTTAAAACATTCTGTTGCATAATTTAATTCCAGATTTAATATATAGCTTTTATAACACTTGAAAACTACTGTGAACCAAAAATTGGAAGAATTTCATGTTAAATTTTTATTTTATTTGGAGTTGAGTTTATAAAATGTATTTTATTAAAAAAATTGTAATGTTTTCGAACATAAAATTTTTCAATATTAAAATATTCATCAGATTTTTGGTTCAGTTAGAAAATAGTGCCTATATAAAGAATTCCATGGAATTTCAAGTGTGTACCATTAGCCATTTTTAAAATAACATGCGTGCAAGGTGGAGACGTGACGAAACATTTTGTCATAAAGCGGATTAAATTACAAAATTATTTGTGGCAACACAAACTTTCTGGTTACTAGTTACCAAAGCAACTATGTCATGCAAGCAGCTGTAAAATGTTGGAAGTAATTGCTTTTAAAGTTCTAAGTAAAATATCCAAATTCTTGCATTAGTCACATATTCGAAGATCATAAGGGGTTTAAGGTGTATGAGCCCCTTTAAAGCTCAGCTCATACACCTTAAAATTAATAAATTCTAAATCTGCTGCGTCTAGATGAAATAATTTATCAACGAAGAGCAGCAAAGCTTCATCGATTAGAATGAGTCATCACAAAGAACCTGGGCAGGTACGTGGCTTAGGCGCCCGTCTGGCGTCTTCAGGCGCATTAATAAGTACAGAGCGAGTTCCAGCTACCTGCAATTGCCTAGACTTTCTAAACTGCCGGCTATAAATAACCGTTACGACACATCCAAACATTGATTTCTCTTCGCATCTCTTTTTTTCTGTGTATGGTGAAACCTTTCAACTAACACCGGAAATCTTTGATATGGCTTTATTATCAATTCCTTTTTAATCGCAGAAAAATGGTAAACTTTAGATTAATTCTGTTTATATTTCGCAAAAGTAATTTATCAGAGAATGCACTGTGACAATTTATACATCAAGGTTATAAAGGATTTTGCATACATTTCATAAAGTTCATTTATATAACGTTTATAAAATATAGATCTCAAATCCCGACTTTGCAAACTTACAATCAAAACTAGATAGTAGTATAGCTGTCGTTTAATTATGCAATTCTGATACTACGAAAATGCATTCAGAATCCCTAACAAATATATTAACGCAGCAAAATCGATG